TTGCCAGTTGCTAAATCAAGTCCTAGACCAGGCTGCCCAGAGCCCAGTTCAATCTGGCCTTAAACGCCTCCAGGGACAGAGATCCACAGCCTCTCTGGGCAGCCTGTTCCAGCACCTCATCACTCTCTCAGGAGTTTTGGTAGAGTTCTGGAAAACAGTGAGAAAATGGGAAAGAGAAAAATACATTTTAGCTGAAACTTCATTAAAAACAGGAATAAAAATACTGGGTTTTATTCTAGGCCATTTTTCTATGTCCATATTTCTATTAACAATTATACATAATTAAGAACATTTTGCGTTTCACAGAACAATTAACGCACAGGGAAACATGCCCAATTGTGTATTTTGACTCTTAAAGAGAGTTTATTGTGATTATTTTTATATAACTCGGAACAGTGAAGGAAAATTCACAGGACTTGATTTCAACTTAGATGAGCCTATAGACAGAATATCAGGTAAGCATTTGCTTCCCTGCAGTGAGTCACTTGAAGACTTTTGAAAATATGATGGAGGGGCTTTTTGCAAAGCGTGTCAAGGCAGAGGAGAATTTCCCTCCTTCCCTCCCAAAGCCCTAAATTCTCCAACAATAATTTCTAAGTTTGGAGCTCCTTATCTGTTATTAGCTATGCTACAGATAAATACAGCGCTGGGACTACAGGACGCTGCATTTCCATATGCATCAACACATCTGAGGGAGTGAAAGCAGCATCTCCTTTCACCAGCAGCGAGAGGACACTGGCCAGGCCCTGCTGCTCCTGTGCTTAAGTGCCTCAGTGCTGTAATTTTGGCAAAACCTAAACATGGAAATTACCTACATACCTGATTTTCAAAATCCTTTACACTCACCTAATTATCTACACTGAGCCATGGGCTGGCACAGGCTGTAGTCAGGAGTTTGGGGCCTGTAAAGCAGCACCCGGCCTCAGGGGGCAGATTAAGAGAAGAGGTTGGGGACACAAGCGGGAGCAGCCAAGGACGAGAAGAGCTGGTGCTGGCAAGAAGCTCAGAGGAGGCAGCACTGGCACTCGTGCAGCAGCTTCTCAGAGGAAGGGCAGGGATGCTTCAAGAAGTTAACTCAATGACTTTCTTTTAAATTTAGAGCATATTCTCAGTGAAAAGCTAACTCCTACGTCTTTACAGTTTTAAACTGTGATCCCATCTGTTCTAAAGTTGAGCAATGAGCTGGGAAAATACCAGGAGACCTCAGCATGAGGCTGGGGATGAAGCTGGTGGTGGGGCTGCCATCTCCTCTCTGCCACCATGTCCTCCAGAGGTGATTCTGAGGAGTCCTGGCCAGTTGTGCATTTGATGAACTTTACTGAGAATCAAATAACTGCATTTCCATCCTATTTGGTAGTGTATGAAATTCAACTGAAAATTTAAATTATTGGAGTTAGCAACAATACAGGCATTTCTACCTTTAGGCCGATGCCATTATTCTGGCATGCTGAAGGAATGACATTCACATGGAAAATTGCTATATTTTCATACTATTTTCATACATACACCTGTACTACACTAACTAAAAACTAGTCTGATAACTTGCTGAGACTTCTAGGGGTGTAACCAGGGGAGTGTGAGCACTTGTATTCAGTCTGTATGTCTGTGGAGGAACTGGGCCCATGTTATTATTTTGCTACCCAAATACACAGAACAGGTGCTCCTTGTTCTTGAGGAGCTTACACACAATTTTCACAACCTATTTTTACTTTATAAAACACTTTTGTTCTCCTGCATACAACAATTTAAATGTCTCATGCTGAGGCTGAGACAGCGTAAACACAGTTTGAGGAATGGAAAATAACATCAGAATGCTGCGCCCATCCGAAGAATTCAGATCATGCTGAGGTAGTGCCATGACGTACCTTGACTTCCTTCTTCCCTTTTGCACAGGAAATGTGTTCTTGTAGTTGACTCTTTTTCTATAAATAAGTGGGACATAGTCAGGAAAACACTCACCAGCTTCAGACTCTACTTTGCGACCTATGTGGGGACAATATCAAAATATTTTGATGCGTATTTCGGCCAGGCTGCTGCAAGATATGGTGGAGGCTTGACAGAATCAACTGCATGCCAGACCTGACCTGGATAAACCCTCTTCTATTCTTGGATGATGCTGAAGCCAGAAATACCACAGCGAAGCAGGATGTTGGTTGTGCAAATTTGCGTGGCCATGGGCAGATTCCTCCTCAGCTCACAGGCAGCTGCAGCCAGGATGCTACAGGGCCCTAGGAAAATACAGAAGGCCTTGGCAAAGCTGGTGACACATGGGACTCTCTCTGTGCTTTGCAAACCACTTAGTTTCTCCATTTTTATACTTTTGGACACAAATCAGAAGTCTTTCTCCCCCAAAACTATCTCCTTCTTAAATATCTCTCATAGAAGATATCTGTAACTGCCTGCTGGTGGTATTTCAGCTGTTCTTGGGGTGTGTTTTCCCTAAGGATGACAAACTCATCCATATTTGTGGCACATTCCAATTCTGCATTCACCAGATCATCCTTCACTTTTACTCCCAGCAACTGCTGAGCTCATAAACTGATTTCTGCCCTACATAGACTAGGAGAAAATGGGAGAGATGGAAGTAAAAGATGTAGGGAATAGGGTAAAGCCTGAGATGGAAAGATTCTGATACCTTAAAAAGTAAGAAACTGTGAGCAACCACACTGGGATCTAGTCAGATGAACTAACATAGATGCATAATTTGTTTGATTAAAGGCAAAGAGAGATTCAGATTTACTTTACATAGCTGACTCTGTCTCATACTGTTTAGCTTAGGCAAAACAGTATTTGGAAGCTTAAATTGGCTGTTTGTAGTTAAATGCTTGAAAGCAGTTAATAGCATCCTGTTATTATGTACAATGCCTTCAGGAGGAAGATAAGCAATTTTGGTTTATTACAGTTTTCTTTCCTATATGGCACAAATGGGCCCAGGATCAAACTGTCTCTCAGCAGAAACCTTCCTTGTCCACACTCATTCAGCAGGTCATATTTAACCATTTTCAGTATCCTTCCTGTATGCTCACTAGTGGACTCATTCCAATTAATGTTCTACAGTTAAAGCTTGCAAGGACACCTCATTTTTTAACCTCTCTTACTCTGCTGCTCTGCTACTGCTGAATACAACTCTGTCTCTGGCCTGCCTTTGGTGCCATGAAAGCTGTCTGCTTTTTGTCTCTGTCTGTGACTGTTTAGGCTGAGCTATGTCTTCCAAAATTCAAATTTTGAGCACTCTCACCTCATTCCAAATTTCCTAAGAAAAAGCAGAAACACTACTCCAGTAATCCTCATGAAAACCCAAACAAATAAATCAATTAAACACTTGTATGACTCAGAAAGACAAAGAGATATTGATTCCCAAATCAAAGAATGACACAATTGTACTTGCCTCTCCTTTTCATTCTGGTACCTCCCGTTTTCATCCCAGGTTGCATGTTTTCCCATTCTATCCAGATTGGGAAACAAACATATTTTCAAAGGAACAAAACCTGAAGGATGCGGGTAGGCACTTAACCAAACAAGTGAAATCCCATAATTTCTTGGATACTTACGAACTTTCAAAAATCCAGCCCTGAACAACACAGAACCAGGGCTTATCTTTCCTGGAAACAAACAAACAAACAAACAACTGTCCGTGAGTGACATTAAAGTGACAAGGATTTGGTTACGATGCACCAGGATAAAGGAGAGAATACCATGTGACAAAAGATATACCTAATGAAACTAGAGAAAAGCAACCTGATGAAAAAAGGTAAATACTCGTAACAATTTAAGAAAATGAAATAGCTAAGAAAAGATATCACTGATTTCTTCCATTGCTCCCATAACATCTTTGATGTTTGTGGATGTTTTTCTACGCAATTTCAATAACTGTAAATGTGTAGAACTGACCTTCCAGCAAGTGTTGTCCCTTGTCAAGCCTTATGACTTAACAGCTCTGGCAAATGCAGGGAGCTTTACTAATGGTAGGACCAGAGGGTTGTGCAACAAGTGATTTAATCTAATGAAACGCTGTGTCATGATTAGAAATGAAATTTTCTTGTCATTATCAGAGGTCCAATCATGCAGGTCTAAAAGAGTACTGGATCACAATAATAAAGTCACTTTTGTTTCTTTCTGCAGTGGAAAAAGAAGGGAAAACTGTCAGGACACTCCCGAAGCAAACTAAAGGTCAGTCTTTGAATGGTATCCAAACCTTTTTCTCCCTTAGTATTACAAATAAATTGCTGTACTGCAGGCTCCAGCTGTTTGCCAGTAGTTCACTCCTCTGTGCAGAAGCAGAAGGAACGAAGCATGACAGCAAAGTACTGCACTAATTGAGTCGAAGTTTTTGCCAATTTGGAATTTGTGTTGTGTTCCAAAAAAACCCGTGGTAACAGCGAAAAGTGCACGTGGATACGTGTGCTCATGTGAGAACACAAAGGAACCAACCAGGGTTTCTGGGCAGAAAGAAGGATGGTGTCAGCTCATAATTCCTGGCAGAGGAATGTGCAAATTTCTCTCTCCAGTCTAAGGAGGAAAATAAATTAAAATACCCTTCATAGAATGCTTAGACATTGCATTCATCTCAGCTCCTATAGGTAGACAATCAGAATTTCTGGAAAACATTTGAAAAGGTAAAAGAAGGAAAGACATTCCTAAATCGATGGCTTCACAAAAGGGAAAGCAGGCTTCTATCGCTTGTTGTGATACTCTGTGCTTTTGAGATTCTCATCTAATTTTTAACAGAAACTGAAAATTAAAGTGTTCCAGGGAGCTAGAGTCAATTGCAGGCTTCTTGTCTATCAAGTCTGATTACAACAGAGGCTTTCAGTGCTCTTTTATCTGGGTACAGTGGAAATGCAAACATATGGAGAGAAGCTGATTAGGTCTTTTTCAGTCTAAAGAAATACTAAAATTTTAAACTCCAGTATTTTTATTCCAATGAATGTTATTCTCACTACAGAGCAGTAGAGATGACTCCTGTCAGAAGTGCATATCCAAGTTAAGCATTTTATTGCGCGCAAAGAGCGATGATTTGACTCCTTCCCAGGCCAGAAGCTGTTCTGAATACGGCATACACAATTTGTTTGTTTGTTTTAGCAAACACCTGAATGTCACATAGAAATGTAATTACAAACACAAAAAGCTTCTAAGATTAACACAGTATGTTCAGGAAATGCATCACCAATAGTAAGCAATCAAAAAATCCCAGGCACATTTACTACTTTGTTCAACTACAAATACAAGCATGCAGCAGCATGCTTGGAAAAGAAATAATTACGTACATACCAGTCAGGTTATTTAAAATTCTTTTACTTTCAGATATTTTGGAACTGGACCAGATACAAGCATGACTGAATTGAATGAAATCTAAAACCTGAAGACTGCTAAACATTTACGGCAGCTTTAAACCAAATAACTGCCTCTGTTCATCTGTATTCAGTAGGTAGGGAAAGGATGCTGGTGTTAAGAGCGCATGAGAAGAAAAACTGAGACGAAAATGGATGCCTGCCAAATACATGAACACAATGTCCAGAAAAATAACTGATGGTAAAGAACATCCTCTCTTCTTCAGCAACAGATGTTACTGAACTGATTCAAAAAAAATACATTGCTTTGTGGGTCATAGGGTGCAACTGCAACTGAAAAAATGCTTAGTGGCCTTTCAGTTCAGGAGCACTGTGACACATGCAATCAACACTGTTATTAAGCCATGAAACAGACATAGGAAAAAGTAAGGGTTGTTTTTTGTTTGTTTGTTTGTTTTAAATTATCTGAACAGAATGGAAAAACTAAACATTATTGAGACATATTCGCATAATGACCCACTGCCTGGACGGGCTTTGTTCTGTAAGGGTACAAGATTCAAATATGATGTTAGAAGTATAAAACACCTCTTATTCACAGTATAATTGCACATGTAAATTCACTACTGAAATTCATATAGTGCTTTATCACTGTGTTTAAAATACGATGGCAGGAGGAAATAAGTTTAACTTGAATAAACATTCCAATTTCTTCTTATATTTTCTATAAGTTCTTTTTTGTTGGTTACATAGATTTTAACAACCTGAATCTTCCAAAGAAACAACTTTTACGAAGTCTGAATGAAGTGCATCTACATATTTTCACACTAATTTCATGCTAATTCACCTGTTACATTCTTTTGTTCTTGTTGCTGTTGGCTGATCATAGCCACAAGGGGAATTGGGCTGCACTTTTTTGAGATGAGAAGATAAAAGGACAAAGTCTCAGGGATCTCCCACATTAGGCTTAAGCATGTCAGCCTGCACCACGTCAGTGCTACTGAATCCGTGGAAAACAGAAACATTAAGTAAAACTTTCATACTCTCATAGAAGGAAAAAAGATGAAACTTCTTTCAACACCTTTCACCAGAGGTGTGGGCCTCTCTAAAGCAGAACGTTATTCTGTAAAGGAAAGCTTTTCAACATAAATCTTTAAAAATATAGGCTAAAAGAGTAAAGAAAAAAGGACTTCAACATTAATCTAGCAATCGCAGTAATTCTTTGATCTCACTTCATGTCATTAACATCATGGATTTTATCCAAATAGAAGTAGATTATGAGTGACAGGATACATTCATAAGGTACATTTAGATTAACAATTAAATGCATGCTTTGGAAGAGCTTTTTGGGATATGCAAAATATGCTAAAGCAGGAAAACAAACAACTGTGCATTGTAACAAGAGTTCTTACAGTGTCTGTTTTAACTTAAAAGAAACCCACGCTGATAAGAACATACCTCTTGCAGTTCAGAGTAAAGCTGTTGGTACAGAGCTGCTTACATTTGCTTCCCTCAGGAAGTTATTGAGCACTGCTGTATACAGCACAGAACTAAATGTTTCAACTAAATACAGCATGTAAACTAACAGACTTCTTCCAACACAATGTACGAGGGAAAGAAGGAATCTCCAGAGTCTACAGCATTTACAGGTTAACTTATTGCCCCTGTTCTCCTGCACATTTTTTCCTTTCTGACACTAGCTTTCAGCACTGTCAGATCTGTATTCCTTAAAGAAGACATACAGTCACAGCAAGTCTCAAGTCAGACATGCCATGACAATCAATTTGGCATTAAGTTATTGTTTAACATTAAACTTTTGTGCTTGATGAGGTTTAATTAAGAAAATACACACAGAACACTATGCTAATTTTTTCACTTGCTTGTGTACTACAGAAGTCAAAGGATACTATACAGAAATGGAAGCCTGCCTGGTGTTTTCTCTTGGTTAAAATTCAGCACATTTAACTGATAAGATCTATGCTACATCACCTACTAGAAGCAAGACAACTTCCAAGCTCAGGTCAACAGTGTCTTGCAAAGGTCCATTTTGTACCAGCACTCTAATTCAGTGCATTCTGAGAGTTACAATTTCCATTTGGAAGAGGCAGTAAGGACTATCTGAAGTCATACAGCATACAACTTCAGCTGAAACTTCTGAACCGTGGAACTAAATAAAAATAATGTTTTCAGTTTGGTAGCAGCATATCCAGCCAAAATCACACGGACGCTGAAGTTCCTAAAATTCTCTATAATAAACTTAATGCACATGACATTTCTGAACAATTTTTGCAACACATTATGAACACATAATGTGAAGTACATTAATTGTAATGGATGGAATGATGGACTGCACAAACAAGATGCATTCACAGTGAGCTGAGACAAATCATTAGTAAAAAGAAATTATACCATAATTTTAGTACTTAAAACATGTAGTAACTTTCAATGTCTACTTCAGATTTTAGATAGGAACACTCACTTCTGTATATATTCATCAGTACCTCAAGAGTAAATTCCTTATTACACTGAATTAATAGAAACAGAAGTCAGTTGAACTTCCTTCTGGGAGATGCTTGAAGGAGTGCAGTCAAATTTCTTCTTCTCTGAGCTTACAAATCTTCTGATGAGGGTGCAACTGCTTCAGACTCTGTATTTTGCTTTTCCACGATCATTGATAACACATATGTGCTGAAAAAAAATTAAACACTGATTACAACAGCATAGTTAATTACATTATTAATCATTAATGCATTGTTCAGAAATAATTCTGTCTGGCCAACCCAGTAATCTTGCTATTATCCTTCCTCTCCAGAGACCTGAAATTGAATTCTGATTTCACTTTCTACTTACTGCAATTTCTGGCACTCACAATTGCCAGCATCCAGCTCCACCCCTGGAAGTAACATAAGAAGCAATGACAGGCTAGTGAAGTTTGCATCATTATCTAACTGAGAAAAGGAACATAACAGTAAAATGCCCAAGTTGTCTAAAGTCGCTGTATTTCAGTTGTTACTGCTGTCACTGCATTTACTGGGAGTGAAGGAACTGTGAAGTTCTAGGCGCACAGAAGATAGAAGCATGGCAGAAGTGAAAACTTCTGCTCTTGGTGGCTAAGAGGCGGGAAGGAATCATCCACAGTGCTGAGCAGCGACTCCTCTGGATTATCTGAGCTTTTGCAAGGAGTTCTACACTCACTGGGAGGATCCAGCCATGGCATTAGACCCCAGGAATAAGGTAAATTACAGTCTCTAAAACCCCGTAAAACAGTGTTTTCTTTTTAAAAAAAAGAAACTTACGTTCAGATCTCTGAAGTACTCGTTGTAGTCTAAGGCATAACCTACCACAAATAAATCTGGAATTTCAAATCCATAATCTGTATTGAGATAAATAACAAACAGCATCACTACTAGATATGTGGCTCCTATATAGCCCTTAAATACATCTGTTGGTTTCCTGACCAGAAAGCTACGGATAGGCAAAGTCAGTTCAGGTTATGCTACTTTTGACTAAGACACCAAGGTCAGCAAGCAGCCCATCATGCTCACAGACTGTTTGTGACGGGCTTGTGAACAGTCAGCGGAGAGCAGGAGAGCTGTTTACAATTACCAGTGGTACAACAGACACATTGTTTAAGGAAACCAAAATCAGAACCAAAAAATTCTGCTCTCCAGAAGGGGCAGCTCCATCGGTATATGCATGTGATGACAACTGTCCAGAAGCACATAAATGACAAAAAAAAAGTATAGCTTTAATTCAGAAGTTGCTCACAGAACTACTCAGAGGGTTGTGTATTTTCTTCCGAGGGTAGGCAAAACTATTATGCATATCATCCTACCAAAACGTGTCACATGCTTCTTAAAGCCCAGTCTCACAAAGACTCATGGCCATGCCTAACCAAGGAACTGCATGCAGTGCGGCTGAATCATGCAACTCACACACTTCAAACCAATCTTAGACATGCACCTGTATGAGTGTGAAGTTCTGTGCAGTATCAGCACTATAGAAAATGAGTCAGACTCTCTCTGAGTTGCCTGTTATGTAACCAGAGAAGAACAGAACCTTATGAAGACACCTTGGAATCACAGATCCAATATGTGAGGAAATGACATAGCACTGTTAGTGATTTAAAGGGTGACCTGATGCTTTATAAAATTAATCGCAGTAAAGGTAAACAAGAAAATGGAAAAACCTGTTGTAGCCACATACCTGATACTACATCATTTTTTCTATGAAATCTAAAATGACAGTAGCTTGGTACAGCTTCATTTAGGGCTCTGATTAAGCATAGTACAGGTACCAAAATTGCAGAGAAAAGTGGTGCTGCTATGAGAAAGCTTAAAAAGCCCGTTTTATCTTTTACTTTTTTTTGGGGGGGGGAGGGGTGAATATGATGTTACTGTATCATTGTTTACCCTTTAAACAATAATACTTCTCAAAAATATATTTTTAAATGTTACTGTTCTATAACTATACACAACTTACAAGTAATGAGGTCACTAAGAAAAAGCTTTTGTGTTCCAGTGAATTCCAGCAGCTCCTCTAAAGAAAAGTTAATAAAGAAGGAAAAGGAAGAAATGGACTTTCTCTTCCACATAGCTTGTCAGGGACAGGAGAGAAAGCAATCACCTTTCATGGGTAACACTTAACCCCTTCATAACTTCCTTATGAAATCTGTACTCTGCAGAAAACATCAAATAAGGCTGGGATTAAACCATAGTTTCACAGATCTTTCAGTTGCATCCCATACTCCCACTGCCAACTGATATCTTACAACACCTCTAGCAGTCCACCTAATGACAGAATAACAGTAACTTCTTGAACTGGGATATAAAGAATTTCACAACAACACTTACAGTCTGGTCTGTACCCATCAGGCCAAGATGTTCTTTTCACCAACAAACTGTAAAAAACAAAAAAGTCTAGATATTCACCAGAATAAAAAACTGTTTTCTCTGTCAATAAATAAATAAATAAATAAATAAATAAAAATCAACCCACAGCTTCTGAGCCACATGAATCACTGTTTGTTACCTTTCTGCTACTTCTTTGACAATAATCTAATGATAGGGAAGAGATGGGTGTGTTTCCCTTCAAAGTCTATCAATGCCAGTCTTGAAATGGCTGGAGAGGAATGAATGGGGCTGAATGTCACTGCAGAACAATATAATGGCGTTTTCTCTCCTGTCCTCCACCCTCCCCTTGGTGATTCAGGCAGCTTCTCTGCAGAGCTCCCCATGTGATTAGGCAGCACAGCTTTAAAGCAGGATCTTGGAACAGGAATCCCACTGAGAAACATGTTGGGCTGGACTAATTAATTAATAAGTTTTGTGATCATTTTACTCACCTTGCCACTTTAATCATTTTTGGATTATATTTTTCTATATGATTAAGCAGAACCTTCATAGTCCTTCCAGTCCCAACAATATCCTTGTAAAACATGAAAAATACAAGAAGTTAAAACAAAGGAAAGCTGAAAAGAGGAAATCTGGACAATGACTGAGCAGTTCCACATTCTTATTTTGTAGAAATTATACTATTATACACTCTAGAAGCAATCACTTTCTACTCACAAAATAAAGAATGGAAGGTCTCCCCATTTCCTTCTAGTACTTGGGATCTTACAAGGGACTAGGGATAACTTTACTGTGCAGTGCAAGTATACAGGGATCAGAACTTTCAAATTATGATCAAGAATAGCAAATGTCAATACCTCTCCATCTCAGGGCTAGATCTGCTCTATTTGTTGTTTTCTTAGCCCAGTACAAATGAGTATTTTCCAGGTCTGCTGTGCTCAACCTAATCTGAAGGAGATCAGTACATACCTGGCTACACAACTGAACACACATGGGGAGCAGCTGTTGATGCTGAACTCACTGAGTGTGTATTTTTCATTAGCAAAACCTTATATTTGCTCCCCAACTATCTACAAACATAAATAGAATTTGCTGCAGACATTTTTCAAGTTTACAGCAGTTAGCACTGACAAAGAGGGGGCTTGTAGCAGTTACTCAGGTAACCATCCACCTCTGCGGCTCATGACTTTTTCCCCTTTGCTATGGAAAGACATTGCAGCATCTATTTGTTTTCTTCGTTACACCATACAGCCTACTTCTCACACAGACAGACTGGGCCTGAAATGTCAGTCAGATCTTGGATGCTCTTGAAGCATCCCAGTCAATTTTCTGACATTTTAACACAGAATCACCTACATTATTAATTAAGAAAGATTTTGCAGCACCACTGAAGTGACACGTTTTCTTCCTCTAGAACTGAATGTTTTTGATCTACATCAGCAACATATCTATGATGGATCTTCCCAGGGAACACTCCAGGTTGCAGTGCTAATGAACAGGAGCCATGGAGACTTGAGAGAATGACTGACATTCCCATGCAGCGTGTGAACAACCCTGAAGTTGTAAAGCATATGTAGGGCTGTGTTGCCATTTCAAAGTCATGCAATAGGGAAATTCAGGGCACAATTGCAATTGATTTGTAGTCTTCCAAGGTACAGAACAACCTGCAGAACAGGAGATTATGAAGCTCTGAAAACAACAAATCAAGTGACATAGAAACACAAACTCCTGGCTATCACAAAGCAGAGTCCAAATTAGAGTGGTGGCAATGTAGTTTGATCTCTTTGCAGTTGCAAAAAGACTGAGAGGTTATTAAGTAAAGCAACTCCCTCTTCACCAGTTCCCAGTCAAACATTCTTAATACAGCCACGTTTTAGAGGTTAAGTGCACAACAAAGACTTCACTAGGTGACTTTCTCCAAGTACAGTATGACAGAAATACAGCCAACTTACCTCAACAATTAAAACATTCTGGAAAAAGAAAAGAAAAAAAAGTTACACAGTATTCACAAACCAAGTGAAAGAAATGTTTGAAAAAGTGATAGGCCCATGTGCACATGTACAGCTGGGTAGGACACCGCTTCCTGTTTCATTTCTGGTCATAGCCAGGGACTATGAGTTTATTCAGCTTTGTCTGGATTATCCCCCTTGTACGAGAATGGATGTAGCTCTGGAGAACACCAGAAGTGGAAGAAATACAAATGGGATGAACTCCACTTCCTTGCAGTGTGTCCAGCAGTGTACTACAGTGTAACCAATAGTTTACTAAAATGTACCTAATGTTAATATTAGGCTGCAGCAACCATATTCTTACTCTAAAATTCTTCTCTCCCCACACCTCCAGAAATCTCAAAGTGAAGGATTACAAGGCGAGTTCTATGTCTCACTCTCAGGCTGCAAAGTACCGTCTCCAACTACTGCTGCCCAAATCAGTAGCGTTATTTGAAGAGAAATGGTCCAAGACATGTCAAGCCTTATCACAGTGTGATCACAAAGGCTCAGCTTTTTGCTGACATGGCCCATAACTGTCCCAGGAATCACAGTATTTAAGGCGACTTCTGTTCTCCTATTAAAAGTAATAATAATAAGAAATAAGAACCTACTTACTAGAGGACATTATCGTATACATGTTGAAAGGGATAGTGTACTCTCTTAAAGTTTTGCATAAGATCAGCTTTCTAAGATGGAACTTAGAGTAACAGAAGCCAAGTTTTTGTGCAATATCTATCTACCCATGTATTCATCTTGCATGTATATGATCACTGCACATCCTGCAAAACCTTGAGACAAATAGTTTCATATCCGTGCAGTTGTTCACCAGACAAGCATACATTCCCTCTCTTGCAAGTTTGTTGGTTTTGCTACATAGGTAACATGGAGACTGTCTAACTTTCCTTTCAATCACATAGTCCCAAATCTGAGAGCTCTGAGAAAGACTCAAACACCATGGAGATGAAGCTTGTGCAAGGTCTGTATTTATAAACAGAGTGGCTTTGACATCTCAATAATAGGTATATATATATATATTTTTAATCTGCATAATAGAACTGATCAATATAGATCACACACACACACACACACATATATGTCCAGGTTGCAGTCCCTCCTAATAATTACAGTGCTTGGCAGGGAACTGTGGCATGCTTCATGCACACAACCACTGCAGAAATGTGTTTCCACACACTGTATAATCCCTAGATGCTTCTGAAATGGCAAAACATTTGGTAAAGGTGTGGAGGGAACTCCCAGCAGTAGTTGAATCAGTGTCAGCGATGGAGGTATCACTCAAGAAAGCCACTAATTTAGACTGAGCTCTGATGGAATGCATGTTAATCTGAGAGTGGCTCCTTTTTGGTGTTTCCAAAACAGGTTTCACTGGTCGTTATCCTGCTTGGCACTCCTGACTTTCAACCTCCCAGCTGCTGACAAAAACAGCTCTGGGTCTGAAAGACCTAAACCTGTGGAGGTAAGAATTCAAAGGCCTCTCAATTAACAGAAGACTAAAGATGTCCTACCTCTGAAAACTTTTGCCATCCATCTGGTCCAAATCCCCTGCAACAGGGACACTTACACTCGATCAGGTGCTCAGAGCCCCATCCAGCCTGACCTTGTGTGTTTCCAGGAACGGGGCATCCACCACCTCTCTGGGCAACCTGTGCCAGTTTTCACTACCGTTACTGTAAAAAACATTTTTCTTAAATCTTGTAAAGAGGCTCACCTGTTGATGTCAGTCTGACACTCTGAATTACTCTGCCAGTTTACTATGTTTCTTGGTCTATTGACAAGAACTTTACACCCAAAGGAAAAGCAGAGATCTTCTAGTGACAAGACCTATCCAGCAGGTACGGCAAGAGATGTGAAACATCAAATCTAGCACGGCAGAGACTGCATTAGTGGTCTGTCCAGGGTTCTGTAGAGGCTGATTCCTCTCCAGTTGAAGAGTAGGGCAGGGTAGGGGCTTCGTCAATCTAGGCCCAACCCTACAGTTTCCCAGCAAGATAAACAGGACAGCCCTGAGGCAGACTCAACAAACAGTCTAGGTTATCAGGTCAGTTCATGGTAAGGAGGCAGGTCTGAGGCTAAGCTCAGATGTTAGTCCACAAATCGGGATCAAATCCAGTGAGAGTAACCAGGGCTAAACACAACCTGCTGATTGCCAGATCATTCACAGTGACGAGACAGATCCAAGGTTAATCTGGGAAGTCAGTCTGTGAGTCAGGGTCCCAAGTGACAGAGTTTGTTGGTAAGGCACAGGAATGGCTGGAGCTGAATATCTGTACTCACAACAGTGCAGAATATCAGTACTCACAACAGAACAGATCGGTCATGGATTGAAAACGCAGGGTTGAGCATAACTGGGATCACCATGTTCACAGGTGTGGATAGTGGCCCTGGTTGAGACTGTTCAGGATCACTAAGGTCTAATAAGAACACTCGGGACTAAAAGATGGAGAGAAAATCATAGTCCTGGGATGTTTCATCTATAGACAAAGGTGTGTTTCTTTTTTTTCTACAGTAGCTAGCTTCAGTTATCCTATCATGAACAGCAACATAGATACTCTTGCTTACTTGCAAGCAAAAATTATAAATGAAGGGAAAGCAGCCTCTCTGACCATGGAACTGAGATTAAACCAATAGGGAGGAACTAACCTTGCTAGTTAACTAATGAGAAGAAATAATCATAAGTATTAATAGAAAGCAGGGCTGAGGAGATCTTGAAAGATCATTTAGATATCTTTTGGTCCAGAGAATCAACTTAAGCTATTCCTCACAGATAATCCAATTTTCCTCTTCTTCAACATGATGATTTCAGATTTGGGATAACCAGGTAATATGTCTCAGTGCCTCAATTTCTAAGAGAAAAAATACGGTAGAAAACTTCTGTTGCTATTTGGCCTGAACTTGTTTTGCTGTGGACACAGAAAAATAAATAAATAAATAAATTCTTTCTTCCACATTTGAAGTAGATAAATTTCCTGTTTCCTCTTCTTCAGATTAAACAGTTCCTATTTATTTGTTTTCTCACAAGTTGCATTTTCTATATTCCTGAACATTCTTTTGTTCTCCTCTGGAACCCATTCAGCTGGTCAGAATTCTTCTCCAGCTGTGGTGCCCCAAGCCAGAGAGAAGCCTTTCCCAGTCTCAAGAAGAATAAAAGAGCCACTCTCCATACCTTTTAAATTATCCTACCTTCTATAAATTCCATACAGTGGTTACCACTTCTGTAAAGCTATGCTGCTGTCTCATGTTCCACTTGTGATCCACCTATCGTCTCCAGCACAGAACTGTTGCTTAGTCAGTCCTTGCCTACTTGCAGTTATGCAAAAGATTCTGTATAAACATGGAAGTTAGTATTCATCTTGTCTGTTGTTGCACGTCATTCTTTGTGTCAAATTCTTAAAATAATTTCTTAAGCTCCTAATCCTATATTATAGTATTTTTCCAGGTAGTATCATTAGCATTAAATGCTAATTTCATCTTTAAGTAATGAATTAAATATTGTGGTTATTGAAGAACACGTTTTAATGCACCCAGTCTGTCAGTGAAGTGCAATGGTTTCTTGAGAACATCTTTCCAACCAGTTATACATCCACCTAATAGAAATTTAATTTAGTCCACATTTTGCTAACACAGATGACTCATGAGAAGGAAGGAAAATGAATGCGGAATCAGACATGCCTGAAAGGTTTGTCTGGCCACTACACTAATAGCCACCTGCACAAGACTTCAACAGAGGGGTAAGATCTCGTATTGATTAATTACCTTGAGAAGCAATGATACTGGTGGACTCTCAATTTCTCCAACCAGTGTTCTGTTATTCCTACCACTTCCTCTTCAGATTCAGTGAGCCCAAGAGCTGTAAATTACATACACTGAGAGATTTGTTTCTTTGAAAGTCCCTTTAATGAGGCAGCTGTCTAGCTAAGGAAACACAGATATTCTGGTTTGTATTGTATACACTCTCATTATTGCCAAAACATGATTGAGTATTTTCTATGCTTTGGAGACACCCTTTACGTAAGAACTTTGTAGTGGATAAGCCACTATAAAATATTTAGATATGAAAACACATATTAGTAAGCAGGCATCCTGATAGTCAAGAATGATAACACTAATCCCTGTTTTGATTAGTCAGGCTTACTGTGACTAAAGTCATCATATTTAACTTTTGCTTGTGAATGAGAGCATTCAAAATAGTTTGCCATCCTCCAGCACCAGAAATTATCTCCATAAAAATAACATGATGTGCTGGGACACAGACTGTATTGCTACCTATCCTCTACCTTTCTACTACTGAAGTGGGCAACTGCTTGGAGGGCTCCAGGAAAGGGATGTCACTGCAAAGTAGCAAAGAAACAAACTTCCAAGGAGTGTTTTGACACACAGTATCTGAAAGCAGGTAGTGGAGATATACGACTACAGTTGGTTGAAATGGATTTGCTTTTTTCTTGAGCAGATGGATGGGAGAAGATAAAAGAAGAATGAAGTGGATAGAACACATTAGTACACTAAGAGTAATGTCATCAGCATCCTAAATGGAAAACTGGCTGCATCCAGCATCCCTTGGGAAAGGTAACAGATATGAGCAAGTCTTTATTCAGCTTCACCATGAAATCCACCCACGAGCTGGGGAGTAAGAGACTGGTAGAATTCATCAGCTTGTGATGTTACTGCAGCAACTGACAGCTGGACACATGATGTGACAATACAGGATGCCAAAGAAAAGGTCTTTATCCAAGCATATGTAAATGTTTGAGGCTCCTATACCACAGAGATCAAGACTGTTTTGTCCCTTCAGATACAGCTGTGGTGGCTGCAGAGGAGGAAACCACATGAAAAGTAATCTGGCCTTCTGGCATGCATTTGATATTTTTTATCTATTTTTGGAGCTTGAAGAACAGGAAATAGGAATATTTACTGACACAGTGACTAGATTGAAAATGGCTTAATTTCTGAGCCATTCTCACCAA